GAGCCATTGATGACCACCCTCTGTCTGCAGCCTTTCAACCAGTTTCTTATCCATCGAGTGGTCCACCCATCAAATCCACATCCTTCCAGTTTGGAGATAAGGATGTGGTGGGGAACCATGTCAAAGGCCTTGCTCAAGTCCAGGTAATGCCAGAGTGATGTTCCATGGCCTCACTCACCACGCCTCTCCCACAACGCTTTTCTCCTTTCTGGGTGAAAACTTTTCTCTTCTTCCACTTGTTAGCCCTGATGGCTTTGTGTAGATGCTGAGTTGAGTCACTGGGAGAGCTGGTAGTGATCATCACACCCAGGGCAATCTCATTCTGTATATAATATTTGCTTGATTATTTGTAACCTGCTAAACTGCGCGCTTCACAGTCCTTGCTTTTATTCAGTGCCATAAATAGTGTTAATGCAACACTTATCATCAAGCCTGCACAATGCTGATAGTCTTTCAGTTCATCAATCACTTGCATTTGTCATTTCTCTAGCCACTCAACATGACAAATCACACATCTCTTGTGTCAAAGTGCCCAGAGCTAACAAGCTAGCTTACTTCACCTGACAGAAAGTTCAGCTCTACTTAAAGCCAATTTATAGATACACACACAACTAATAGAAGTGTCATTACAGAGAAATGTGTGGCAAAGCTCAGAAGAGTGGGTGAATAGAGCTGGAGCCACAGACAGGGGCAGAGGTCAGTGACAGAGCACTGCCTTCTGAGAGTTGATGAGCGCTAGGTTCAGCCTAGATCACATGCTGTGGGAGTCCTGCTGACTCCAAACCAAAGGTGGACTAAAGGAATAAAGCACAACGCATCATCTTGGACTGGGTGCTTTTGGTACTGGAAATGTTTTCCTTCAGTTGTCACTGAAACTGTGGGTGGGTTTGTGTAGGAGAATCATATCAGAACATTGACAGAGGCAATTTAATTACTTTAGTCCAGTGTAGATCCACAGCCTCACTGCTTTAACAGCGTTTCCAGTAGTTACACTGTTTTGTTCTGTAGAATGGTCCTGGTTGATGGATAATCACTGTGGCAATGATCAAAATTCTATCTTATATGCCACAAGCAATCGCCAAACATAGTCATGACCACAGCCACAGTGACAGTCCCACGAGGCCTGGTAGTCATAGTTTGGTCACCCAAACAACAGGGAGACTTGAGATGTTACTATACTGATTGTTTTTTGGGTATGCACAATGGCTTGCCCCTGAATGGAATCCACTGCAGTGGGGTGAGGTGATGTGTATGTGTGCTGGATGCACAGAGTGATCTGGCTCCAGGTTGTAATAAACTGAGGAGCCCAGGGCCATGGAGACCCAGAAATATGAAAGTTTCCTCAGCTAGCCCAGTATTGTGAAGTATTCAGTAATGGTTTGTGAGTACTGAGTGACCTCAGTGTCACTTAGGAGTGTCACTTATGGTGACTTATGGAATGAAGTAAATGGACCAGAAACAGGAGCTCCCTCAGGCAGTTAGACTAGATGATCTCTTCCAACTGAACTTTGTCCTGTGCTATTCTCTTCCATTCCATTCTATTTCATTCCATTCCACTCTTGTTCCACAGTCTCTCAGGTTTTGAAGCAAAGTTTTTTTGTAAGTCTATATTAACAACGTGGTTTCCTAGTGATCCCTGCTCCTGTAATTTGTCGTACAACCTTACCTTTGCTTCTTTTTGTATAGTATTCTTTTCAAAGCTGTAATTGATAATATTTAGCAAGGACAGAATTGAAAATTTAGCCCCAGTAGTAGCATTTGTGACATTTGAGGGCCAGTAGATCTCTTTGTCCCCTTTATCCAGGCTAGCTAATCCCACTTACCAGGAACAAGAGAGTGAAGGAATTGTAGCTGGCTGAATGCCATACCTGTATTATCAAATGTAAATGATGTGTAGCTTTCTGCCATCCCACAAAGACACAAGCCTTCATTTGGGACTGCTGCCATATGAGAAGCAGCAAGGGCTGGATAGTGCTACAGCTCCCAGACATCACGGGTGAAAGAAAAAGCTACACTGTTTTAATTCTGAATTAAAACAGGGATGAGCATAAGGGAAATGTATGTTACTTAGCACAGTGGCTAGCAGCTGGCACAGCAGGCATACAGGTTAGGCTGAGGCCGCACGAGAGGTCCTGCACTGTGCATCCCTCTGCATGTCTCTCTCCAGCCAGGCTGAGTGCTGGTGATGAACAGCATCATCAGCTGAGGATGGAGTGCCTGAGGCAGAAATTGTCTTTTACTGAAATTGGTGGTGAAGCACCTTGGGATTGCTGCTGCTCTTACTGGGCCAAGGAACTACCTGGTACAGACACAGAACAGCCCATGGGACATGCAATTGTCTGCCACTGGGATACTCCCTACGGTGTCTTTGTGAAGAAGTCTGTGTATAAATAAAAGGACTTTTCACAGAGATTCAGCAGGGACTGTTTGAGGAGATGGGGGCTCAAGGGACACTCCTGGAGAGCCAAAGCTCTTGTGGTTCCCAACACCCCATCTCCCTTTGCACAGGGGAGGCAGCCCCAAGGGGTATCTACAGCTTTAGTGCCACTCACTGGATAGCTTGGTGCCAATAGCATTGTCCATGGCCTCATCGTACAGTGGTGAGGAGAGGAAAACACACTGATCACCTGCACTACAGCACAGAGCATCATTTCATCTCCATGGGGGAGGGTAAACAGTGTTTCACTACACTTTATTCAGCAGTATTTTCTGCATCTCTCACCACAGCAGGATCTCTCTTGTGAAGCTGCAGCTGACAAGACACCCACATGCTCCCAGCATGACACATGGCAGGGGCTGGGGGTCCCCTAAGCACTCCCACAACCCTTCTTGAGACTCCAGAGTGACTCTGAGACACCACAGCACAGGGCAGGTGATGTCCTACACAGAGTCCCAACACTGAGCCACAGCCATGGGGCTGGCTGATGTGGTGGTGTCACAGTGAGATAGCTGCCAATAGCAGAGCCAGACAAGGAACTGTCTGTCCTGTTGTATTGTCTTATTTGATGTTAACAAGATTGTCCTGTGAAGTGTTAATGTGACTCAACACAATGAAAGAAAAATTACACCCCCCTCATTTGCCTGAGGGTTTCTATCCCATTTAAATTAATTTTCCCTTCCAAAATGCTGTAAGGGACATTTAAAACCCTGTTTAAATTGTTGATTTTTCCTTGCTTTGTTAGGTGTAATCACATTTCCTGGAGAGCTCAGACTCATCCTTCACCACAGGCAGAGCTGGGACAAGGGTCTGCATGGAGGAGGGCAGGCTCTGAGGGGAGGGGGCTGGGAAGGGCAGGAGCTGCACAGGGAGCAAGGAGCTGCCACGGGTCATGGCTGTACAGGAGATTCCTCACCTCTCTCCACTCCCTGTTAGCTGAGGAATGACAGTCCCTGCACCTCACTCACTAGCAGCTCACAGCCCAGGGTTGTCTGCTTCCCAGGGCATCCCTGCAGGTAGTACTGACACAGACCTCAGCTATGCATGGCTGTTGGTATGGTCTGAGCAGATGAACTCATAGGTGGATTATCAGACAGGTTGAGTTGCAGTGTCACCTATTCTTTCTTCTTTTTTTACAGTTGAATTCAACAGAGCCTTCAGTAACAGGTGAAATTCTCACACAAACAAGCATTCTCTCTCCCTTCAAGAGTTCAGCAGCTGAGATCTGGGCTGGGGGTCAGCAGGGTCAGCCTGGACAGATGGGGGCTGGATGCTGTTGAGTGCCTGGAAGTGGGTGATCTGGGTTCTTACAGGGCCGAAACAGAGCTCTGGACACCACATCTGGGTGCTCTGGTCAGGAGCTGTTCCCACAAGCAAGCAGCAGGCTGCCCACTGTGCTGCACTCCTGGCTTGCTTCACCTCTTTGGGAAGCAAATGTACAGAGAAGCGCAGGAGGCTGAGCTGTCCTGCAAGCTCCTCCTTGTCCTGAGGGCTCCTGTCCCCTGGAGCATGTCCCAGCAGAGTGCGACATCAGCATCCTCTGGTGTCTGGGGCTACACCCTGTGGCTTTCCAGCAAAACCTCAATTCCCCAGTAGCTCCAGTGGATTCTGACAGTGCTTGTCCCAAACCACAGGACTTCAACCATTCAAGGTGAGGACATGGAGATGAATTAATTCAGCCTCAGTTCATTCTGCCATTAACCACTCTGTTCCCTAAGCAGTTTTAACAACCTCTGTGCATCACAGTGCCAAAGGTCAATAATGTTTTCTGTTTCCTCAGCGTACTTTAAGCTATACAGATATAGCATAATGACAGAAGGGCTTCTGAGGAATACTATGGTTTATAGTGAACTACAAATGTAAGAATTATAGCAGAGTGAGGTCAAAGCTATAGGTATACAGACAAAATAAAATTTTATTATTATTATTTGATCAGCAAGTGGTGTGAATCAGCTGGCAAATGTTTTGTTTTGTTTTTCTTTTTGTTTTTTGCTGAACCAAAGTGAGCTTTTGACAAAAAGGCTTAGTACTGGAGATGTTAGCATGATACTGAGTTTGGGGAAGGATGGTTATTGTACACAACGCATGGATGGATCACCTGAGGTCAGCAGTAAAAAGAACATGCCATAAAGCCAACCTCTGCTGAGCTGACAATTTTCAGTACCATGCAGAGTATAGATCTTCACCCCAGCTTCATTTTTTGAAGGTATATTTCCTTGGTTTCCCTTTAGATCAGGAATGAGAAACAGCTGTACTGGCTGTTCAGTAGGAAATCCCCTCTCTGGAAAGCTGTGTCTGCGGGGAGGGCAGCTGTGTCCTTCCAGCAGACCCGTTGTGCGGGAGCAGGAAGACAGTGCTGGGGCACCAGGAGGAGCCCCGGGTCCGGAGTGCCCCCGGAGCAAGCAGCGGGTGATGGGAGGGAGGGATGCTTCTCGCCTCTCCCTTTGCGTTTAGTGCCTGGAAATCGTGCCGAGCGAGGACGGGCTCTCCCCCGAGAGCTTTGTAGCTCCGCCAGACAGAGCCGTAGCACTAGCACAGCGCGGGGAGCAAAACGGGTGTGGTATTCGTGGCTCTGATTTGGACCCTCGTCATGCCCACGTACTGTGTCACTGCGAGAGGAATTCAGTTACCATGGTTTAACCTATCAGTACGGGGACCAAGTGCCTCCCCTCCCAACCGCTCTATAAAAAGAGTGTCTGAAGATGCCCCGGCGGCTCCTGCCTGTCGGCTCCGAGCAGCAGGTGCTCAGCACGCACGGAGGGGCTGCCGCTATGCCGTCTGCCTTCCAGCTGCAGTGCCACCTCGTCCTCATCCTGCTGGCAGCCTCCAAAGGGGACACCCGCTACCTCGAGGTGAGCAACGGAGCGAGCGCACCTCGCTGCACTTCCCCACTCTCTGCTAACTTTATCCCCAGCCTTGTGCTTTGCTTTCCTCTGTTCCTATTCCCACTGCTGCTGGACAAAGGTCTGACATTAACACACCCCCCTGCATTTTCATTCATTTACCTGTCCTTTTCTCAACCTTGTCCTTTTGGCTAAGGAGCCGACTCTCACTGTGAGAGGTGAGCCCCTCTCAGGGGCCGAGTTACTCCTCGCTGCAGCAGCTCCCGACTGAGCTGTTATGCAGCTGTACCCCTTCTGGAGCAGGGATGCGATCTGCCTGCATCTGCTCTGGAGAGCTGCAGGGAGGGACTGCATTTCATGTTGTCCCATCCTCTTCCCGCCGTCTCCCCACAGGTGAGGGATGCTGGTGAAGATGAACCCTTCCTGCTCCTCAGCGAAGACCTGAAGCGGGAGCTGTCTGCAGGGCACATCTACCGGCGGTCTCTGCGTGAGTTATCTTTGATGGTGGGAGGGTGCAGGGGGAACTCGGGGCTCTTCGGGAGTGATGGGGCTGAGGGGAGAAGGGCAGAGTGTTATAATTTTGGAAAGCTGAGGCAGGGAGATCAGAGCAGGGCTCTGACCAGGGCTCGGGCCGGGGCTGGGGTCTCATCAATAGGAGGGTCTTACACCTGCAGCCCCAGGCAGAGCCCAGCTCCAGCAGATGGAGTGGGTGGAGAAGCTGTGATGAGTGAGGAATCTGAAGGAACTCGGGGTCTGTACACCTGTGCACATGCACAGCAGCAATTTTACACCCCGATGCGTTCTGATGTGTCACATCAGCCCCTGGAGCTCAGCAGCTTTTTGGTTCACCCGTGACCCCCTCCTCCCTGCTGCTGGTGGTCGGTGCTGGGTCTCTCCCTGCTGTCCCCATGCCTAGCAGCAGGCACTGGCTGTGTGCTGCCTGCAGGCAGAGCAGAGCCCGGCCCTGTCTCTGCAGGCTGCATTGACATGCTGAGCATTGAGGGGCAGTTCACCTTTACTGCCGATCAGTCCCAGTTGCACTGCGCCACATTCTTCATCGGTGAACCTGAGGAGCTCCTCACCATTGAATATGACTTTGTGAATATCGACTGCCAAGGAGGTGACTTCCTGAAGGTAGGGAGCTGCTGTTTGTCTCCATCCCTGCTCTGGATGTTGGGTGCTGGCTGTGTATGGTAGTGGAAGGCAGCGCGCATGCACATGAGCTTTTAAAAAGCATTTGTGACTGACTGAGAAGTTTAATTTGCACGAGCTAAGACTCTGGATCCACTAGAAGGCTTTTCTCATTGCTTCTGTTACCCCACAAGCCATGCAAGTACTGATGATGTGCTCTCTGGTGTTACTGAGCCAGGACCTCCATGCTCAGGGCACTGGCTGGTTAGGACCTGGATATTTGCAGGGAGGATTTTCAAATGACCCTGCCAGAGGTTTTCAGAACACTTGTTCTGACTCAGCGGAAGGCTTGTGACAAAGAGCAATTCATACTTGAGAACAGGGAAACTTTGCTGAAGCATTCTGCTGGCAGACAGAAGAGTTGGCTGAGATCTGAAGTCAGTTCTGGAGGTGAGGGCAGGCAGGAGGGCATCTGTTTGCTCCTCTGTCACTGTGCTGCAATCTGAGCACAGCACTGAGCTCTGTGTGTGGCAGCAGACTGAGCTGCTGGGGAGCCCTGTCTCTCTTCCCCTTGCTGGGGTTTCCCCAGATGTTGCTGCAGGCTGTCTCAGCCTTCTGTGTGCCCAAGTACCTCAAACTCAGAGTTGCTTTCAAAAGCTGGACAAATACCATCTCCAGGGCTTTATAACAGTTTCCTTCCTTTGATTATTGTGTCCCCAGTTCAATCATTATGCTGCTGTACTTCTACAGGTAGCTTTCCTCTGATCTAATCTGAGCAGCTGCTTCACAAGACTTCCAAAAATTTTCAGTGCCAGCAAATCTGGAGACCAACTCCTGCAGCTCTGCCATCAAAGCATCCCATGCACATTTACAGGATTACTCACCATAGCAGTGGCAGGATCTGGTCCTCAGATGCTTGAAATGTTAGAAGGGAGCGCAGAAAGAGTTGCTGGATAGGAGAGGGAAACAAGAGGAAGGTAACTTCATGGCTGTGCTGGAGTTAATAGCTTTCTATTCTGACACATTTCTCTGCTCGCGGGGAGGGCAATTTTTTTGCTATTTTTATTGTGGAGGAAAGATTTGTAGACAGTGCTGATTAATTTCTAGCCAAGTAGGCAGAGTTTGTGCTGCATTCCACTGGCTAGAGTCTACTGAAAGAAAAGACATGGGAAAGTGTGCCAAAAATTCCTCCCCAGAGCTTCATTGAGCTGTGCTGCTGGACTGAAACACCGTTGCTCTGGGAGGCCCTTGGGCTCATTAAAGATAAGCTGAAGATATAGATGGTGGAAAACTACAGGCCAGGTCAGTGGACCTAGTGGTCAAGGCACAAGAAGGCAACTTTTTTTTGATGTGGCTTTCACATCAGGTTGGCCAGAAGCCGGTTTTAGTAGCAGTGGAATTGCTATACTAATGAATCCAGAATCTGATATTAATTTGATAGTGTTGAAGCAAAAAGAATTGTTTCCATCAAAGATATGTCACCAAAATAGTAATTTGAAGGAAATAAAAACAAAATTAGGATTTATACCTCTTCTATTCCTACGTATTGATTGAAACTTGGATAAATGCTAGGGTTGCACAAAAAGAATTTTTGGTTTTATTTGGAAGATCTGAATTGGCCATCAAATGTCAAAGCAGTGCCCATAATACTTTACGCTTCTCTTCTCTGCTAGCAGGATGATACACAAAAGCCCTGGTTACAATTGTTGAACCCTTGCAGGTATTTGATGGCTGGATACTCAAAGGAGAGAAGTTTCCTAGTTCCTTGGACCATCCCCTCCCCACTTCCCAAAGGTACACAGACTTCTGTGAGAGAGGTGCTGTCCAGAGGAGCATTAGGTCATCACAGAATGTGGCAATGATCTTCTTCAGGATTCACCATCCAGGCAATGGATTTACGATCACAGTCAAGAAAAGTGCCAACCTCTTCCGTAAGTCTGATTTCATGCTACCAAGTGGCTTGCAGTTTTGGTAGGAAGCAGAACAATAGTGTCTGTTGGCATGAATTCTCTGATAATGTCTGCACTGACACAGTTCTGGTGAGTTTTTCCTGAGTGTTTGACTGTTTCAGTGTAGGTCTGTGCAGGAGAGAGAAAAATAACTAAGTATGGAAGAGTAGTTGAGCATTGCTTCTGTTTTAGAATAAGAAGAATCTTTCAAAGCAGATCTCTCATATTGAACACTGTTATGTCTTATGATGTTTGATTTGAGCAAGTAGTATTAAACCAGAGATTTTTATCTGTGCAACTTCTGAATATGAGTGAACTACAATGAAAAACTATTTGAAAAAATTCAACAGCACATTTAGTATACAGAATGGTGATGTGAGGAGTATTGTGTGACTCCAGGAGTCTAATTGTAAGTTATTTCCCTAAGCCTTCGAGCTGCCAGGGCACAAATAATGGTCACTTGCATCATTTTTCCAAAAGTGGTAGTGATGCAGACGACAAGCCTGAGCTGTTATGTTAAACTTTAAGACAAAATCAGTCTGTGTTGCTCTGGTTTCACAGAAGAGTTTGAGTTGGAAGGAACCCTCAAAGGCCATCTAATCCAATTCCCTTGCAGTAAACAGGGGCAACTATAGGTAAATCAAGTTGCTCAGAGACCCATCCAGCCTGACCGTGTATCTCCAGGGGCAGGGTGTTTCAATGGGATATGTCACAGGGTAAGGAAACCCCACTATGAGGAGCAAGACAGGACCTGTGGGTTTGCTGGCAGTATCAGGTGATAACAAGTGAAAACAAATGAAAGCCCTGCATACATGTTCACCATTCTTCAAAGTGGCAAAAAGTACCTGATGTGTGCATCTGGGGCACGTGCTCTCCCATTGACAGCTCATCCCGAAACTCTGCCAGACCTCATACTATGCTGTAACCAATGGATGGAGAATTTCTAAGGAACAAATGCTCTTCGAGAAAACCTAAAAATACCACTTGTATTTTTCAGCATCTGTCTTCAACTCTCAGCCGTTAAACTGTTCTTTGTAATTACTAGAAGTACATAATTTTACTACATGTGGGCAGTAATGATAACACAACTAACTCTTGTACTTTTTCCTGTGCTCCAGCTTGCAATGTCATTTCTCAGACTCCCTCAGGAAGGTTTACCATGGTCATTCCTCATCAACACAGAAACTGCAGTTTTTCTATAATTTACCCAGTGGTGATAAAAATCTCTGATCTCATCCTGGGACATTTAAACGGCCTCTTCTTAAAGGTGAGTTGTTTGTTAGCTGGCGAATAACTGCTATGTGCAGTTTTCCTGGTGGGCTGGAACAGGGGTGGCCAAAGCTCTGGCTGTGAGGGTGTGTGTGCTCCAGAGCAGTGTGTGCTCAGCCTGAGAGCTGGACCCCCAGAGATCAGAGCTGGGTCCGTCTCTGTAATATTGCAGAGACAAATCAACAGTGCAAAGTGCCATTAAGAAATGTAAATATTTTGTACTGTAAAAAGGATAAGAATTACATTAGAAATAAAGGAGTGCTCTGCCAGAGTTGTCTCCCTGCACTTAAACTTATCAAAGTACATAAGTTGCTCCAAAAGTAATGTCTCCCGTTTATTTCTATGGAAACTACAACAGATACAAAACGTACAATAACGCTATTCAGTAGAGAAAATTCTCAGCTACAAAACACCCAACATAGTCACCACTGTTGGCCAGTTCATGGGGATGAGTTGAGATTCTCTTCATTTCATGATGTGACAGCTATGTATGGCCATTTGTAACATGGCAAGGTGCTAGCAGGAGGCAGGACATGAAAAGGCAGACATAGAGGAAGCAAGTTGGTGAACAGGCAGACAAGAACCAGTGGCAATGTCCCTGTCAGTGGAAAACATGGGCTCATTCATTTTTGATTTTGAGGGGTTTGCCCCAAAGGAGAGTTTTAAAGAGTTTAGAGCAAAATGAAGACACAGCTATTTGGTTTTGTGTGTGGTACCCCAGCATGAAGGACAGCATGAATGAAAGTGCTAAGAGTATCTATTTTTATTAAGGTAAGGAATGCACGATAAATGTTAGCCACGTGTGCTGATTGGCAGCAAGAGCTGATCTGCTGATGCTGCAGGAAAAGAAAACAAAAAATGAAGAAACAATGTATTAAGAGGGTCCAGGCTTCAAAACTTGGGTGGAAAGAATAACTTGCACCAAAGCTGATAGAGCAAGAGGAGCTGTTAGCAGCATCTCAAAAGTCTGATAGCAAGGCCTAAGACTCAGGAAGAAAAAATGACAACTCTGGTGGAGTGCTCTGGAACGGCTCTGGGCAGAAGCAAGGAACTTTTAAGAGATGTTTAAATCTCACTTGCACAGTGAAGGAGAATAAGAAGTGTGAAGGAATAATCAACGAAATGGCAGAGTAGGTGGGAAGAGCTCAGGAACAAGGGTCAGCCTTGCAGTGCTGGAGAATAGCTGCTGGCCAGACAGTGGGAATTTGGTTTGCAGCATGGTGCCTGTGGACAAAACCAGCCATGAGTTGTTGGTGTCAGCCGCCCTTTGTTATCTCCTTGTCTTACATGTTGCTTTCATAAGGACGCTTAAGATAGAGAGGAGATAATTCACTGCATGCCAGCTGGGTGTGGGCACATGTGCAGCACTGACTCTGTTCATTTGGTTAAGTGTCTGAGCACCCAGGATCAGATTGCTTACCTGTGCTGGGAGCAATTGGATCAACATCTTAACTAATGCCAGTGATTTTTCAGAGCCCACTTAGGTCTTTATTTGGAGTTTCTTCAAGAAATTAATTTATAAACGTCAGATTGAAGTACTATTGCTTGAACAGCCTAATTTTTAACAGGCTTAAGCATAAAGTACTTCTGAATCCTGGTGTTGACTGCAGTCCTGTCTAGAGAATTGTTGTTTTTATCAAAATATGGCAAGTAATTCTTATTTTCTGTCTTCTTAGAATCCATCAGTGGGCTGTGCAGGAGTGGGGGACTTTGTGGAGCTGTTAGGAGGAACTGGCTTAGACCCATCCAAGATGTTTCCACTGGCTGACCTCTGTCATTCCTTTCATGGCTCTGGTGAGAGCTTCTCCTTTCTCATCCGCCTCTACAAATGAACATGTAACTGGAGGGGCCATGCACAGCTCTCCTAAGCCCAGGTTTCCTTTAGACAGGTGAACTTGACGTGTAGCAAAACATGAGAGCCAGCATCCAAGGGCGTGATGCAGCACACCCATAAACAGCTCTACTCACCCTTGCAGTAATTATGATAATAAGATTAAGTTAACATATTTTTAAAATACTTATGACACATATGATTATTAGTGTCAACAGACAAGCCTGGAAATTCATAATAAATGCAGGCAGAGTTGTTACAATTCAGCTATGGCATTTAAACTGCTTTCCTGGCAGTGTAAAGAAAGGGAAATCACACTTCAACAGTCCAGGTGCTTCCAGCATTGTGATGTTTTAGTTTTGGAGATCTCCATGGTAGGATGTCACTACCCCTCACCTTTGACTTCTAGTATCCAACTGCAGCAAATGCAAGCACACACCATCCTCTGTGTCCTATAAATGCATGAGACTGTAGGTGGGGGGGAGGGGGAGGTAAGCAGTATCTGCCAGAGCGAAGGCTGCAGCACCTGATGAAATAGCAAGACTGTTAAAAAGAAAGACTAACAAACTTAAAATAAGGTATTTAGACTGCAATACCAATGCTAGCCAGTCGTTACTATGCTCAAATATTCTTTGTTTACAAAACCCTATTATTAACTTGTAATTCTCAGTGCAACAGATCATTTTTTCACTCTCTCTCATATAATTTTATCTTAATGTCTGCTCTGTTTTTTCCCTAATTAGCCCAAATGAAGATTGGTTGTGACAATACTGTGCTACGGATGGTCTCCAGTGGCAAACACATCAATCGTGTGACATTTGAGTATTATCAACTTGATCTGCAGGAAATAGAAAACAGAAAGGAGAATAGCATTGAGGAATTCTGCTTCCCTGGTATCTGAAAAACCAGGCAACACATTTTCATGTTGCTAATCATAATAATGTTCTGGCAAATTAAAAAAATGTAATTTTCCTTTAACCAGCTGTTGGTTTCAAGCCTTTCTACGGTGCAAACATTTTATTTTATTTTCTTCTTCATACAAATCAATCATTCATATGAGCAAGGAGGAAGAAGCATATTTTTCTTCATTACTACAATTATAATTTTCTGCAGTATTTAAAATCACTTACTGTACCCCAAATCAATAACAAGAACAGAAGGCTAAGTTTCTAGTAGATGTATTATTAGGGGACAGACACAAATCCTCTATGTATCCAGTCAGAGTACATAAAAAAACAACAGTATGTATAAACTTAATGCAGAAACTATCCTTTTATATCAAGAATGAACAAAAATATAAGGTGGTTGAATACATTTTCAGTTCTGTAGCAGGAAATCCAACATTACTGTGTGTAAAAATGACTTGTTTATGACTATAAATGTACTATTTAATGACTTGTTTTTAATAAAAATTTATGGCATGGATACTTCCTTACATGAATCCAAACATGAATAAATAAGTTCAAAGAGTTGGCAAAACATTGCCATGTTGTATTTTTTTGAAGAGCTCGTTTAACATTCTGGTTAAACTTCTTAAGTCTTGTACAGTTTTCTGGAAATTATGATTTTGAGCATATGTAGCTGTAAAACCATGGAGTATTAAAGTGAAATTATGGGCAGAGCTTTGGTTTGCCGATTTTCCATACCCATTCAGGTGCAGTAGGTGCCAGCTGTTCACTTACCTGCACCTTCCCTGTCACAACGTTTTTAGTAAGGTGTCCAGCAGACCCATGGAGGCAAGTTATTTTTCCAGTCCTTTGGTGATCTCTAAGAGGAGTATAAGCCTGGTGAGCTCTAGGAAGCACAGTGGAGGACCAGGGCTTTGAGCTTGGAATCATTAAGATGGATTTGCATGCTTTTTGGAGGTGCTACCTGGCAAACACTGGGGTCAACAGCTCCTTCCTTGATGTTCAATAACAATAAACACTGATTGATCCAGTTGCATGCCCGAAACCTTCAGAGCTCATCTGTGGCTCTTTGTCATTTGCTCACCAAAAATCAAGTGTCTTGAGTATTCAGCAGCTGTGTAGCTATTTCCCTTGCCCCAACAGATGTGGGCCAAAACCTCAGGATGCTTTAAGCTTTCCCTTGGTAGGGTTTTGTGAACTCAGTTCTGGATATTAGCTGACTTAATAAAAGAGGTTATTAACCATCTTAGTAACAGATGGATATGCCTGGCAGCATGGTCTTGGGTGAGTGTGTCAACACTGCAGGACTGTGCTAATGGAAGAGATTATGTGGCTATTTTACTTTTTTATCCCAAAATCCGACAAAACCTTTTGAAATTTCCAGCAGCTCGGAAACGTTTAGAGAGAAAAGCACTCCTCAGGGAGGGCAGAAAGGGGATCCAGGACCCCAGCAGCACTGAAGCCATACTGCTGCTGGCTACTCCAAGGAAAGGAGTAGCCTCGTTTCTGCCCTGGGACAAGGGCTCTGGGCCACCATGTCATTGCTCCAGCCTCATCTGATCCTCCACAGGTATCCTGAGCCCCCGCTGTGGTGCTAACTGAGGGGAAGGAGAGCAAGGGCTTTAAAGTATTGCTCCTTGGTTTCTGAAAAATACTCAGTGAGGAGGAGATGAAAACACAATGACAGATTTCAGCTCAGTCAGTTCAGGACTTGATCACTGATGGAATAAACTCACAATCTCTTGCTTAGTTCTGCTGAATTGTGGAATTTTCTATCTTTCAGCTTTGTTTGATTTTTTTTCCCCAATTGTAACACAACGTATTTACCTCCAAAACAGGAAATCTTGATAGTAAAAACACTTAATACTTAGAGATTGAAAATTTTTCTTCCCAAGGTGTAGAGCAGTTGTTTCTATTACTAAGAAAACTTACCATTTTAGATAGATAGAGGAGAATGAAAACCAACACTTTGTGGTTGACAATGCAATCTATTGCTATTACTTTGTATGTACTACTCAAGCATGTGGTGCTGCTGAAACAAGCTGTAACTTCACCTGTTCCTTTCAATCCATATAAGTCTGAACACCACCTATCATATCACTCCACTATGTTGTATGTCTTGAATAAAAGATAGACCCCACCTTGTTAGTAGACCCTTGGTCTGTGTTCTAAACTCTACTTCATGTACAAAATCAGTACTCACTTCAACCTGTGCCCTTGTATTTATGGAAGCCTCTGTCATTTCAGCAGCTGCAGAACTTCAGTCTTCAGAAATCAACTTATAGATGTCAACTGTCACAAATTCTCCCAGGCTTAGTTCTGGAGAAGTGAGGATGCAAGGATCTCTCTTGCATCTCTTCAACAAAAAAAAAGGGGGGGGGGGGAAGAGGGGAAGGAGTAAATAAAGAAAAAATAAAATCAATAAAAATAAAAAAATAAAGAAAAAGCTGCAAGAAAAGGGGAAGAAAAAGAAGAAAAAGATACTTGAAATTCACAGGATTAAAAAAAAAAAAACCCAGAAAAGGCAGTGTAAGATGCATATGTTTAAATGAATATATGTTGAAAAGGTAAAAAATAAAACATTGGTTAACAAGGTTATAGTCTGTAGGCTTACAAGAGCTGGAATGCCTCCTAATAATAAAATAAAATAAAATAAAATAAAATAAAATAAAATAAAATAAAATAACATAAATCAAGCTCCTAACAATACAAATTGAACAAAAGTCTTTGAAGGGGCATTGTATGCAAATATTGGCTTTGAGAAGTATTTCTATCTGTAGGAATTGGGTATTCTGACATCTCACACTGTAGGCAAAATAATAAAAACTTGCAATTAACATCAAAACATATAAAATTGTTGGGAGATGTAACTGAAACACTTTTCACCATGTTTTTAATTTGACATCACTACTGATGTCCCCCTCGAAGTGGTAGCTTAATATTGTACTATGTAGGAGAGCCTTGCCAGATTTGCATGGAAAATGGCTGAACTTGAGCTGACAGGTTGACAGTGACTGAAAAATTCTTCAGCACCACAGGACCTGCAGAGAAACCTAACCTTTATTATTTATGTTGTTATTGTTATTATTTTGTTATTGTCGGAGAAAGGGAAAAAATCAACAGTTACTATTGGAATCGCAACTGTAAAAAACAGTGATATAAAGGAAATGATTCAACTCTCACATTTCTGTAGCAACATGAAATCCATGGTGGCAACTCAGAAAGAATTGTCCAGATAGTGGCTAAATTTCCCACCTTAAATAAGATTTAATGATTAAAAGTCTTGTATTTAAAGACCACACAATATACCTTCAGCTTCAATGAAATAAATCAGTAACAATTGCAGAGGTGTAAAGAATTGAAGTAATCCTTTTGCTGTTAAAATTACCCAGAAGAAAAGATGGAAATGCCCTGGAGATAGCAGGAAGGCAACCAGAGCACCTGCCCTTACAGCAGTGTGGTCTTACCTTTGTAAGGATCAGTCAGCCAAAACAACTTTTGTTGCAAGGTTTCTGGCAATAGAAAGGGAAACATTATCATGGGACCTGCCAGCAGCAGATAACAGCTTGATATAACTTATTCAAGTATTTTTGGTCTTTAACAGAAAGAAAACTCTTCAGGAACAAAGGTAATTCTTAACAGGTTAAGGTTCAGTATATTTTAAAAATTTATTTAGAATTGCTTCTTTTGGAGGTAAAAGCACCACAGAATTACAGAATTGTAATTTAAGAAGACTGAAAATAGCAAAACTTGTCAATTATTTCCTACCTTATGAGGTGACCTTGTTCGTTTTTTTGCCAACGAGACAGTGAAAAAAACTTAGAAATTCTTTTGCACAAATGTGCAACTCCCTGTAATAATATATTATAACTCTTGTGAGTTAGAATTGTTCTGCTGAACTAATGTTGCTTTTATCTTTTATGGCTGACAGTGAAAATAAATGCTCAAAGACAAGTGCTGTCTTTCTGAATGGCACTTTTTTTTAATGAATTTTAAAATGTCTTCTAACTATGTGCCCTTCTAACATGAGACTGTGTCCTGCCCTCAGCAGAGAGCTGATCCTATGAAGTTTAGATTTGTAAAAAGGAGGTAGAATAGCAAACAATGTAGATTTGCAGAACACATTAGATGCTTGATCATATAACAATCTTCCTACTAAATATCTAATCCTGAAAATTTTAAATACATCTCTACGGCCATCACTCTGCACTGGCTTCATATGCTAACCAGATTGTATGCTACTTAAAGGGTTCATATGATTTTGTGCATATAGGGTGTAGAAGGCTCTGAACTCCAATGTTATGCACTGGAATGTATGTGGCAGCAGTTATGCAACAGCAACCAAATTCATTTTTAAGAAATTTCACTTTTTTCCATGAAATGCATACTTCTTAGGACCTCAAAGCTTTACTTGCTCAGTTCTAAACACAAGCTAAATTATACTTCAAGGAAGTGATTCATTATAGTCATTTTTATTCAGTGCCTCATTACTTTGGGTATCTGAGTAACTTTCTTGTTGATAAATTGACAGAGTTTTCAATTTCTTTCCTCACATTGCTTCTTATCTTTAAAGATCAGCAACAACTAATCATAGCAACTATGGATTCTGTATGCACATCACTTCCTATTAAAGGAAATGCAGTATATTACACGTGAGTCACTACAAAATGAAATTTTCATTATCTGTTCTTTTGAATAAAATTGATATTCATGGTACCGTGCTGCTGTGAATTACCATCAAACCATCAATTACAGTGTTGACTAATAGTTTTTTTTTTAACTTTTCCCCTCAACATGAAAGCAAGCAGTTTTATAACCAGAATTAGCCTTTCCTCTATACTTAGCGCCCCATAGGAGGACTCACACAGCACTTTGAAAGATCCAAGCATGTCCTTAATATCAAGTGCTCAGTGCCCATTTCATGCAGGAAATGTTGTCCACAGATGTCCCACCATGGACAGTCCCACCCTGGTGCAGGCATTGGAGGTTTTCCAGAGGCAGCATGGTGCTCTGCAGCATCACCTGGAGCTGGGACACCAGAGCTGAAGGAGTAAGTGCTTCTGGCCTTCAAGCTCACAGGCAAGAGCTCAGATTTCCAGCTCTCCTTCTTCCATGCTCTCATATCCCCAGCTTTTCTTTGCCTGAGAGACCACAGTGCATCACAGACCTGAACACTGCAGCCTCCGACTCTGAATCTGAGCAAACTGTTATCATCAAAGTCAATCTCAGCTCCTGTCCCATGGCAGATGCCATGTCCTGCTGGAGGGAAGCAGGCACTTGGGAAGGGCTCTCCTTTGCTTGTGAGAACAGCAGAAACTGTTCCTGTCATCCTGTCATCCAGTCTGGTCACCGAGGCACAGTGACCATTGTACATAGCTATAGGAAGGCACTGGCATATATTTAAGTAAAATATTA